TTCCTTCCTGTGACTTCAGGTATATTGAATTCAACAAATTGTGCAATCATGCAAATTCTGATATCACAGCATTAACTAGAACAATCTACAGCTATTGAAATATCTGGTTACCATTATCTTGTCAAAAGAATATCATATTTATTTAATAAGGGAATGATACTTTGAATTCTGAAATAGTAAAGTCATGTAACTGTTTTGTGACTTTATTAGTTGGGTTTGATTTTGGTGGAGTCTACGGGCTATTGGCTATTCTTAAATGTTGCGGGAATAGATGAAAATCCCCGTTACAAGAGCAGGTTTAAATAAAAGTCCCTTACCAGTGTCCCAGGCTTAACAGCCATACTTTAGAAGAGTGATTCCCAAGTTCTTTCAAATTTATTAGCTTGATCTGGGGACACTGCTACATTCTTTGCTGTGCATTAATGTTAATCTATTTCCGATAAAAATACAATTTACTTTCTGGAAGGAATTTTTTTTAACAGTTTCAAAATGATGTATAAATAGTAGAGGATCATAAATATCATAAAACACAGATTAAGAATCACTGCTCTTTGGAGTACACGGGAAATGATTGGTTTGTAAGAAACTTGGCGTTATAAATGTCACCACAGAAGCCACCTATCAGTGACACCACTGATTCATGAGTCCAGGGTGAAGGTGAGGGGGTGACAAATAGAATTCTAATGCCCCTCTTGACCTTAAACTCTAGGGTGTGGGAAAACATACCACACATCCCTTGCTAATGGTGTAACGCAATTTCTATTACTTTATCTTTCTCCAGGATCTAAAATTTCTTCAAATATGAAAGACCCAGATGGGGTACTAGAAAAAGAAGCATGAGTTTTGAGGTCAGACGGACCAGAGCTTGAATCTTCAGTTTTCCACTTGGGTTTGACCTGGGAAGCTATCTACAGACTCCATTTCTATGCCACAGATGACAAGACTAAAGTCAAGAAGGTGGTCTCCTAGTGTGTTACTCAACTTTTGTGGGAAGCTATATGTATCAATATGTAATAAACTCCCTAAGGGATGGTTTGTGTGTGCAGTGAAAAGATTTAGAAAGAGATCTAACTATAGTCAAGGAAACTTAGGGACTAAAGAGTGATGGATGGGAAAGGAAGCTATAACTCAAGTACCAGCATTAGCCTCCCGAGAATGTTTTTATAAGTGAGGCAGGTGAAACCTAAAAAGGGAAGGCAGGAAACAACTTGCTGGTCTGTTTCCACTTTCCGAGTGAAAAGCGACCAGCTGACTCTCCAGCACCCTCGGCAACAGGCACATCAGGCTGTCGTAACAGCACTGAGGTCATCCAGCCAACCTTTTATCCCCCGCATCCTTGTCCACTGCACAGTCTGCCAGAGGTGACCTGGGTTCTATCTAGACTGTCTTACAGAAACCCGTAAGTCAACAAGCTGGAATTCCATAGATTAAGACACTAAGCTATGCCTGTTTATTGCCTATTCAAAGGAACAAATTCAAGTGTTGAAGTAAGTCACGTGGACTTACGTAACCTCACAGAGTTGGAGACTGGCAGTCCCAGTACACGTTCAGACAGCACAGAGCTAGTGTCCACTGCGACTTTGCAGCAACTAATGATGCTAACAGCGTGCACAATTTTTTGACATGGGCTAACTATCCGTACTACATCAGGTGGGGAAAAAAGGTAGTCATCCATTAACACTATAAGTGTGTGTTCTATATGTACATGTGCATTTAAAAAAAAACCTGGAAAGATACACAGCATAAGTTTAACAGTGGTTTCTCTGGGTGGTTGGACTAAGGGGTTTTTAAAAAATCTTTTAAATACTTTTTGGTATTATCTTTTTATTTCCCTTTTCTTTTTATTATAATAAACATATTATTATTATTTTTTTTTCTTTGGCCATGCTACGCACCTTTTGGGATCTTAGTTCCCCAACTAGGAATCGGGCCTGGGCCCCTGGCAGTGAGAGCACCGAGTCTTAACCACTGGACCGCTAGGGAATTCCCAATAAACATATTATCTTGATGATGCGAGAAAATAAAGCTTTAGTGCTTAAAAAAATAAATAAATAAACTGCCATTCTGATCTATAAACCAACCCCTTATCAGTTAAGCTGAGGACTCAGTTGTCCTGGGTCTGAACCACCCTGTGTTTCTTCATAAGACTGAGCTGTTGGCAAGGGGACCTAGCGCAGGGATCATGGTGTTTCCACGTGGCTCAGGGCACTCAGGGGGCCTGTATATCCTGAGTGATCCGACTCCAGGGCTTCACAAACTTCAAAACAGATCATACCTACTTCCTTTATATAAAACTCTCATTACACGCTAGCACATTAAGGCAGGCGGTATGAAGAAGGCACGTGCTTTCAAGTCAGACAGACAGTATCTCCTTGGTTTTCTCATTTGTAAGACGGGGAAAACAATGCCTTGCAGAAGTGTTGCCGGGACTGAATAATGCAAAGTCCGCAGAGCACCCAGCACACAGACAGTGCTAAACCACGGTAGCTACTACTGCTGCCCTATGTCCAGATCAAACATAACAAAAGCCAAATTAAGCAACAGAGTAACAAGCAAGGAACACTTTATTGTACGCACATTCTCAAAAAAACCACACAAACAGAACCCACAAATAGAAGCAAAGAACAAAGTTTTCTAGCTGCCTGGGACACGCAGGGCACCCTATCTTATAGAAACATAGCTAGGACAAGACAAAATGTACTAATCAACATTGCCCTTTGCTTCCCCAGTCAAAAAGCCTCTAGAGAGAAACACTTTAAATTGTATTCTAATATAAATTTGTTGCACAATTAAACTTCAGCTTACTCAAAGAGTTACTGTATAGTAAATAGCAGAAAATAGAGTAGGCATTCAATAATCTGCTCATGATTAACAATTAAGCAATAGACACTTGAATAAATATAGCATGTATTACTTGTTAAACTTCACATTTATAATGAGGAGATGGTTTATCATGAATAGTAACGGGTTTCTTACATTTAAGGAGATACCAGGTCCAGTAATGGAAGTAGGACGCAATGTAATGAAAACTGATTTTAGGGCTTCCCTGGTGGCGCAGTGGTTGAGAGTCCGCCTGCCGATGCAGGGGACACGGGTTCGTGCCCCGGTCTGGGAAGATCCCACATGCCGCGGAGCGGCTGGGCCCGTGAGCCATGGCCGCTGAGCCTGCGCGTCCGGAGCCTGTGCTCCGCAACGGGAGAGGCCACACAGTGCAAGGCCCGCGTAACAAAAAAAAAAAAAAAAAAAAAAAGAAAACTGATTTTAGAAAATATCTCCTTGGGTCTGAGCCACTATGGTATTTATTCCATACTTAGGCCTATTTCAACAGTTTAAAAATGTAGGTATTAACAAACTGAATGCTTCAGGGGGAGAACAAAGTGACACCATCTTCTAGAGCAATATGTTTTGTTTATATCCTCTAGGCAGCAGGATAGAACTAGGGCATAGTAAACAGAGATTTACAATGTAATGAATAATCTGTTTCCATCTCATGCTATAAGGGTACATTCCTATCACCTGCACTAATAGAGAGCAATTTTAGAACATGTTTAGAATGAAGAATTGGCAAGTCCTGATCACAAACATACTAGATCTAAACAGAAGGATATTCTCTAATGTTCTGTACTTTGTGATCCCTAATTGCAACTCAGCGTGAGTGTTCAGGAATGGAAAAGCCGGTAAACCCTTACTCAAAGAACTATGTTAAGTGACCCGTTTAAAGAGTAACGCAGTCAAAATAAGGCAGTAACTAGAAGTCTAGCTGTACTCTATGTGCCCAGTCGCTAAAATTGTGAAAATAATTGTCACCCACCTTTATAAAAAATATTACCCCATTTGCTACCTAGTGTGTGATAGAGACAAGGCAAGCCTGCCATGTGCATTTCAAAAAAAAAACTCGTAATAAGCTCTGGTGGAGAAAAAATACATTGAAACATTCTCCTTTCCCTTTCTGGATACCCTGCTCCAATTCTTCCTCACACAGACCTTTCCTCCTTGACTTAGGTTAACCCCTTAGGAAGCACTATATCAGCCTTATATTCTCTATGAAACACTGAGTCTTTCATTAAGGATTTTTTAAAATAAAAAAAGTCTCAAAGCTAAGGCATATTCTCAGCAGCTGCGAAACTCTGCTCAGTCTACCACAGGCATCATAAAATCACATTTTACAGAGGTTAAAGGGAAGCAAAACTGCAGTTCGGCACCCTTCAACATGGCAAGGGATCGATCATATTCTATTTTCCTTGCAGGACTTCATAAAATCCCCAGGATGGCACCTTTGAATGAGTTGAACCATTGACTAAACCAAGCTAACATTCAACACTGCCATTCAAGTTACCATCACTCAAACTTTCTTCTGGATTATGTTAGTAACAGACATTAGGCAAAGGGCCTAGTAAAAAGTTTTAAAGAAAACATCTTTTTCAGGTGATATAACACAAAGATTACAAGGAGCAACAAAGTCGACTTCTACTGCAGATCATTCTAGAACATGATGTGCCTGACCCCCTCTCCTTATTTGTGCCACTTGGCCATTAAGACATCTTAGTTTAACTGCCTGTCTTAAACTATTATTAAAAAAAACTCATACAGAGTGAAGTAAGTCAGAAAGAGAAACACAAATACCGTATGCTAACACATATATATGGAGGAATCTAAAAAAAAAAAGAATGGTTCTGATGAACCTAGGGGCAGGACAGGAATAAAGACGCAGACGTAGAGAATGGACTTGAGGACACGGGGAGGGGGAAGGGTAAGCTGGGACAAAGTGAGAGAGTCGCACTGACATATATACACTATCAAATGTAAAACAGATAGCTAGTGGGAAGCAGCCTCATAGCACAGGGAGATCAGCTCGGTGCTTTGTGACCACCTAGAGGGGTGGGATAAGGAGGGTGGGAGGGAGGCTCAAGAGGGAGGGGACACATGTATATGTACAGCTGATTCACTTTATTATACAGCAGAAACTAACACACCATTGTAAAGCAATTATACTCCAATAAAGATGTTAAAAAAACCATTTTAATTAACAGCTGTTATTTTAAAATATTTAGTCCCTTAGTTATATCATACACAACGATGTTGTCTTGATATGATCCCCCAAAAGCGATGCAGTAGTTTTTTTCAATATCCATTAGTAAGACTAACAAAAATACTTTTGCTATCTATTTTAAAATCTGTCCTTAAAAAAAGTTGACTTCTCTCCACTCACTTCCATAGCCCTAAAGTAACAGATACATGTTTTGCTGTTAAAAACAAATAGATATTTGAATATTAAGAGACAGGCTCCCCATTCCCTACCTCTGCCCCATCCTGGTACTAAGTCGCCAAAAACTTTTAAAATGCCGTTTGATACAACAGATTTTGCTAATTGTTATGAAAGTAATTTACAAGTTAGGGATTACTGTGCAGGACCTGGTTAACAGTTACTGCTCTGGATTACCGATTTCCTTCTATGAAATAAGTTATAACTAAAAGTCAACCTAGTTTAAAAAGCTTTGGAGTCCTTTTCTGAGGTGTCTGTTAAATTGCCACAGTATCACAGGGGCTCATCTTGGAACTGCAAATAGATTGTGTCTTTTAGGAGGACTGGGCTATTCCATGGAATGGGCTGATCACATCCCACCACAGTCATGCTGGTAGCTGGGTTTTCCATTAGTCATCACTGACTGCAATCAGAAAAAGTCAGGCGGCTTGTGTGAGTCCCGTGTTAACAGCACCATAGAAACGTCTCGTCCTCAGAGCACATTTGGGGGAAAGGGAAGAGTGCGGACTGCCTTGGTTAGTATAGAAACTGTACAGCTCACTTAGTGACAATCTGAGAGTTCGCCCACGGCATGCTGGCTGGGACGAGAAACAACTGAAGTGGGCCACACACTAAGAGCAGACATGGCACTACCTGGAGAGGACAGATATTGTTAAGAGGTTTCTCAGTGACGAGGCGTAGAGAATATTCACAGACTGCCAGCAGATGAGGAGAATCTCTGGGCTCCTAAGTCCCACTGCAGCCCCCAAGGGAGAGAACAAGCCCTCCTCCCCTGACCCCTGCTCTGCCTGCAGAGAAGCATGGGAGCCCCTGCGGGCCCAGCAGGTCTGGGGGGAAGTGTGTTTGTAGTTGGAACTGCCTGAAGAAAGTTCTAGGCTTTAACTCTTCCGTTCAGTATTTTTCCTCCGAAACTCTCGCGTGCTAAATTACTGCCTCAGCACACGTCAGCTCACCACGCCCGAGGACGTCTCGCTGGAGTAACTCCATTCCTTGGGGACCCGCTACATCCCACGGGTAGTTCCACAAAGGCCCCAAAACACACCTTTACATTTTTTTTTTCTTTTTAAAAACGTTGATTTGGTTTTTAGTGGCTGCTGTCCATCCACGTGACAGTGACTGTGGAGCTACAGGGAAGCATCCTGTTTGGTGAAGGCTGCTGCTGGGAAGGTGCAGACCCCGCCCGGCTCCTGGATCAATGTGGAGAAAACCCAGTCGCCAGGCTGCAGCCCACCACGGGCGTCATGTCCCAAATCTGCAAGAGAAGGGGGAGGCCTGGAGACGCGGCACCGGTCACGTGCCCCCAGGAGGCGCTGTTGGCGCTGAGAACAGACAGCGGTTACACTCTCAAAGGGGCCAACGTAACTCATGCTCTTCTTCCCCTACAAAACCTTCTCGAGATTTACACAGCGACGAAACAACGCGGTCAGCTAAAATGTGAAAAAAGCTTATAAGCAGTATCTCTCTCGACACCTGCAAATTACATCATAATGATGTTTTACTATAAATTTACTTTTATTTTTAATAAAAAGCCCACTGGGGAAAAGCCCTTCTTTTTTTATTATGAAATAAACTATGTCATAGTTTTACAACTCAAGAGTGGTACTAAGGATAAAACACTTACTTTCAGTTTCTGCGTTAGCCACCCAGGGATTTAATAAAAAAGCGTGTGGTTATTTCTTATACGTGGGAAGCCTTCTGCCCAGGATGAAGGGATCAATAGCCAGGGAAGGAGTGATCAGAGAAAGGGGTCAGCTAAGGCCAGGCAGTGGGAGGGAGGACCCTGGGGCTGGCTCAGTGCAGACAGTGACAGAGGTGTGCCAGGCCCTCACTGGCTCACCTGGAGAGACCGACGTGGCCGAGGGAGACACCACCAAGGGCGTGGAAACTCACAAACATGCAGTTCGTTTCCAGGTTTCCACGTGGCTATAGGTTGTTCATCAAAAGGCAAGGCGAGCTTGCCAATCAGAAGTGCCTTATGCACATTCATAGCATGACGGTGGAGCAATCTACACTGAGGTGCTAATTGGCAGGTTACCTTCACCACGCGATCGGTCCCACAGGTCACCATCAGGCCCCTAGCAACATCCATGGACATGTGGGAGATGTTATGCTTTCCTTCGTGAAAGGTTGCTAGAGAAGTCCGACTAACAGAGAGAAAAGAGACCATTTAAACTCACCCCACTGTTTCTAGAGCCAAGGGATGAATTTTCTTAGCAACAGAGAGGAAATACGGTAACAGCGTCAAAATTCGCTCCTAAAAATGTGGCTGCAGTTTTGAAAACTATAATTAAAGGATGATGGAAAGCATGATAAGTTGCAAGACTCTTTTATAAAAGATTTTCTAAAACTCCCAAAATAACTAAATATTTTTTTCTTCTTTTTTTTTTTAGCGGAAAGGCTGGTACTTTCCTAGACATAAGGACAAGACCACACTGCATGAGATCCCAGGCTGCAGGCTCCCCCGGAACTCTGGTGTGAGAAGCAGCGCTCCTGCGCACGCTGACCCTCACCCTGCTCCAAAGCTCGCAGCAGCCCAGGCCCCATCTCCAGCTCCCTGACCGACACCAGTGGTGCCGCACTAGCGTTCCTACTTGGGCTTCCCCCAAGGTGTGTCCGTCTGCTACTTTCAAAGATGATTCACCGGCTTCCCCGGTGGCACAGTGGTTAAGAATCTGCCTGCCGATGCAGGGGACACGGGTTCGAGCCCTGGTCCGGAAAGATCCCACATGCCACGGAGCAACTAAGCCCGTGCGCCACAACTACTGAGCTGCGTGCTGCAACTACCGAAGCCCGCGCACCTAGAGCCCGTGCTCCGCAACAAGAGAAGCCACCGCAATGAGAAGCCCGCGCACCGCAACGAACAGTAGCCCCCGCTAGCCGCAACTAGCGAAAGCCCGCGCGCAGCAACGAAGACCCAATGCGGCCAAAAATAAATAAAAATAAAAGAAAGGAGCAAAATAAAATGCTGGTTCTGTCCAAATGGATCTGCCTGAGTCAGGAGAGAATGGAGGACAGACAGATATGTCTTACACACAAATAGTTATTTAAGAACAGATTGCTAGGTCAGATTGTTGTGGAAGAGAGAACAGGGGTCTCCAGAGTTTTCCCACAAATAAAATTTCCATGCGTGTGTGCGCACAGGTGGAAGCCAGGGTGCTTCTGTAGGGTGCCAGTTCAGCCACCCATCAGTGTGCACACGGCCTTGACCCTCACAGCATCCCGAGTGGTGCGGGGGCTCCCGGCCAGACTGGTCTTAGCAGCATCATTTCTCACAGTGTTTGGGAGAAACTTGTCTTAAGTCATAAAGTTAGGGCAGAATCCTCTCTTTAGAAACTGTTTATGAAAGGGATAAACGAGTGGGCAGGAATACAGGTGATCCTGAACAACACGCTTCCAACGGCGTGGGTCCGCTTATACCCAGAGTTTTTTCAACGGTAAATACCACAGCGCTACGTGATCCGCAGAACCGTGGATAGGAAGGGCCAACTCTTTTTATACCCAAGTTATCCACTACGCGGAGGGCTGCACCTCTGACCCTCGCGTTGTTCAAGGGTCAACCATGTATCTGTATCATTTCTCGGGCTCTCCCACTGAAGATGGACACACAAAAAGATAAAGATAAGCGAACACTCACTCCTCGTCCTTGATGGAGTCATAGCAGGAATCGCAGACGCGGACCTGGAACTCAAAGCCCATGACAGGGTAGCTGGAGCGCTTGGTGCTGCACTTCCCACAGACAGCCTGCCCACACTTCCTGCAGTGATGCTTCGGGGACCAGGAGGAGGAAAAGGAGGAGTTTACCTTTTGCTTTAATGCCCGTGGCCTCACTTCAGAGTAGGGGAAATGGGATTGGGACAATGTGCTTCGAATTATAATCACCCCCAATTCAGTGTATCAATAAACACACCAGAGGCAGACAATATCAACAGCCGTTGAGGATTTCCAAATATCTTTGCTTTGTTATTGGTTAAATACTAGTTTTTATTCATTCATATTATCTGCCTAGGCGACCATAAACAACATTGCCAAGACCAAGTTCAAGCTCATTCAGGAACCCAAATGGCTAGAGACTTCAGGAGGGAAAAATTTATTCCTATTACAGAGAAAAGTTTTACATGTAATTTGCCCTCATTAAGAAACAGATAACCATAATCATGTTGTACTATTTCTTTTAATCTTTCAAATTGTGGTTCTGGAAATAAGCACCAAGAACATTCCAAAATAGCCCAGTTATTATTACTAATTTTAACATATATATATTTTTAAACCACTAAAAGCCTTGCGATCCACACCTTTCCTCTCTCTACCACTAGTTGTTAACTCATAAGATTAAAATTAATTCTTCATGTTTCCTTTGAAGTAGAGACTACTTCACACATCAGTTACCACCAGACATGCGTCGCGAAAACTAGGCCAAGGCTGCAACGTGGGTGCTACTTCCGAGCATTAGAATGTTATGAATGCTAAAACAATTCCTGCACTGCCTGCCAGTCTCATACCTGAACTTGCTGTAGAGTAGCTTCATAAGTAAAGTCAAAGAAAGTTTATTAACACACACAAACTTTCCGTCAATCCCTTAGAGAGGTGCGACCAGTAATAAAAGGAATAAAATTGGCATTCTTTTTTACTTCACCTGCACAAATTCATATTCAATCTGAATGAGTGGCTACCTTCAAGGCTACTGTAGAACTATGTTTTTTGTAGAGCTTTAGTGTTACGTGACTACCCAGTGGTAAGCGCTTCCTTGAAATCTGTAGGCTATTTGGGACATGTATCGTCGACAAATTAAAAAAGATAAAAAACAGTACGTACTTGAAACATGCTTAATAGAAATGCTCCAGGTACACTTACGTGGAACCATTTATGAATAATCTAAAATTCTTGTTGTCAGAGTATTCCAGTGAGGGCTAATCTGTTACTTGTTGTCTGTTTGTGCAAGCATTAGGCTTAGACGCCCTAGTTCATTCTGATGTTGTGCTGGGCTAGTACAAACACTGACTTTAACAAGTAATAGTCCTAAACTCAACTCTTTCATCTGTTGACGAATGGGCTCCCAGGGTTTTCTGTGCGTCCCGGCTTTTCCAGTGCAGGACAAGCAGTGGCATAGTCTGCTAACAGTCTCACTATTACCCGGGAAGGGCCCTGCTCATGGTCAGTCACACAATGATGGTGACACCACAAGGGTAGGAATCAACAGCATTTAGAGGGAAAAGTGCGATTCCAAACAAAATGACAGATTAATCATATAAATAACAAAACACAGAATTAACCCAGTGATGACTCGATGTTGGCTACTCACCTGTCTCAACCCCAGTGTCTTCGTGTCCCACATCTGCTTTATATTCCAGAAAAAGGGCTGCTCACATTTCTGACAAGAATCACTTTCTAACCACTGAGGAGCCTGGGGGAGGAGAAAGTGAAACCCAACATGTGAGCATCTGCCTGTTTACCCTGAGTTGTCAGAAATTAATACAACAGTTCCAGACCTTGGTGGGGTTATCCTTTTTTCAAACTCTTCAATATATTATAGCTGTTGCCATATTCAGTATTATGTTTGTGTTTTGAATCATCTTTATCATTTTTGCCATGTTTTCAGGATTGTTCATTTTTAATCTATCGATAGGAGGGAGTAGTTCATTTTGCATTATGAACTCTTAAGAGTTGTCTTCATACACTTCTGTTTTATGCCCAAAGTTTTTAAAGTTGTTTGATAGCTATATCCACTTGAGCAAAAACCTTTCTTGCAGAACCTGACGAACTACCACTTGGGAAGGCTTGTGGGGTCACAAGGTGACCAACAGGAGATCTTCAGGGCGCGGCATCGTGTCAGACAGATGAGCTGCCCCGCCCCCACTCCCAGCTCCTGGGAGTGGTGCCCGCACAGCCAGCCTGTGGACCCCCATTCGAGCAGTGATCTCTCTGCACTGCTTTTTTTTTTTTTTTTTTTTTTTTTTGCGGTACACGGGTCTCTCACTGTTGTGGCCTCTCCCGTCGTGGGGCACAGGCTCCGGACGCGCAGGCTCAGCGCCCACGGCTCGCGGGCCTAGCCGTTCCGTGGCATATGGGATCTTCCCGGACTGGGGCACGAACCCGCGTCCCCGGCATCGGCAGGCGGACTCTCAACCACTGCGCCACCAGGGAAGCCCTGCACTGCAATCTTTATGCACATTTCCTCCCCCCAGCCCCTTCGACTAACCTATGAATTATTCACTGGTCTTTTCATCTTTAAGTACCTTCAGCCTGTCACAGGGTAGGCGCTCAATGAATTTTTGTTGAAACAGGGCAATTAGGCCTCAAAATTACTTCACTGAGAACTTAGAAAATATTTCTCTAAACAAAACGTTACAAGTTGTATTCGATTACAAGATGAACCTGCTAAAAGCCTGTTTAACCTCATCATGTATCGTCATATACGTGCAGTAAAAATAGAAAATACTACTTCCATAAAATTAAACCAAAGGTCACGAAGTAAGAAATAATCTGTTCTTGATCTTGAAAGTTAACACTCAAGAAAAATGTATCTGATAAGAGGAGAGGATGGGAGAACCACAGGAAATGACCTACACTGATCCTTATAAAATATGCAGTGAAGATGGTCAGCTTCACAGAGATTCGGAAGGGGACTTTTGGTGGTTTAAAGAATGAGTTTCCCAACTTCTTTTTTTGTTTCCTATTTCATCAAAACTTTTGGCTTTCCTATTCCTTATTTTAGATAAGGCACTAGAAATATTTCTATATAGGACAGACATTACAAAGGTCTTTCTTTCAGGGGTTGGGGGGTAAGGCACTCACAAACAGAAAGAAGTGGGCTGAGACAGAGGAGAGGTTTCTTTAAATAACTGCGCTAATGTTGGAAATGGGAAGGGAGGACAGAAAGGGTGATAAAGAGATGCACACCTCCGTGAGGAAGAATACTACTTGATGTAGAATTAGTTGTTTCTGTGACCAGGGAAGAGAGAAGGTGGTTTGAAAACACTGCCTGTGAACAATGTTCCTGAAGGAGAAACGGTGATTACAACGACACGACGGGCCCTGCTGCCAACAACGTGGGGACATTAAATCGCAGGGGGAAGGAAAGCAGGGGCCACTGTCTAGTCTTATGTTTGTGACACACGCCAGTGTAACTCCTGCAATACCACCCATGTGAGGAACAGTCACGTGGGACAAGATGAACGTGAAAACGTATTCACGGCAGTGATATTCAAGTATGAGTATACACCGCATAGGGCTGTGAGCATTAAATGAGGCAACATTGGCGAAGTGTTTTGCATAATGCCTGGTATATACAAAGGGTCTTATAAGTCCAGCAGTGTGTGCCCAGGGTTTTATATGCCTTACTTTGCTTAATTTTCAATACAACCTTAGGAGATACAGAGCAACGTTCTCCCCATTTTACAGGCAAAGAAACTGTGGCTCAGAGATTGAAGCGACTGTCCATGGTTGGTTAGTGGGTAGAGCTCCCAGTAGACCCAAGAGTCCAGCCCACAGCCCTGCACTCGTCCACTGCGCTCCACACAGCCTCTGGACATGGTCCTTTTCACTTCAACATGTCAGGGTCTCCAAACATGTTTCTGGAGTATGACAACCAATGGGGACTGAGTTCCTGCCCTCAGGAAGCATGCTTCTGCCTAAGGGTTAGGAAAGAATATTACTCTGCTGAGCTGGAGGGCAGAGGGGCATGAGCGAAGAAAAAATATGCTTAAAATAATTTGAGATAACAAATGAAAAAATGAACTCAGAAATAAACAGACTTTTTGAAACATATTTTGATATAAGAAATACGCATAACTTTGTTTCTTTTAATAGAATTGTGTTATGGTGTAAGCTATCATGAACCATCCTATTAAATGCTTATTCTCTAAGGAGACAAAGTTTTCTTTTATGCTGAGAAGAGCTGAAGAGAACATTAATCAAGTTTTCTGTTTCACTCTCTTTTCTCCATCTTGTTCCATCTGCTTAATCTGGACAAAGATGATGTAACAAGAATAACCCCAATGCACTGCTGCTGCTAATGGGTGCGCTCATCTACTCTGCACTGATGTATAAAATAGTATCCATTCTGTGATCGACTAGCTCCAAATAAAGTTCTCATTTCAAGAGGATTCATTCTAATTCTTGTTACTTGCTCATTTATGTTTCATGCCTACTTCCAGAAAGGAGTCCCTTTGATTACAATCCGGCAGGGAGGTAGATCTGCTTCCAACCAGCCAGTGTGGTGGCCGACAGCCACTGTAGGCTGCGGACACTCCACAGTCAGTGTTTCCAGGTGACTCAGAAAGAAACTCCAGCAAACACTGTGGGGCTAGAGAATCTGGGATTAATCCTCTAGGCCTGTGCCTAAAGAAGTCCTACAAATTGTCCCAAACCCTAACTCAAGTTCAGAATCTAACGGATCGGAGGCGGCTTACTTTTGCACTAATATTTACTCAGCTGGTAGAAACAAAACAAAACAACAAAAAAAACCCTAAAAAATCTACTAAAAATGCTGCACCTTTTTGACATAACTTTCTTTCCCACCAATACTGCCAACCATTGAGACAGAAAAGCTCATAGAGCAAAACGTATTACCAGCTGTGTGCTTGTGATTTGGGGTACTCTTCCATAAGTGACTACAAGGAAAAGAGTGACCCCCACAGGAATGACAGGACTCTCTTTTCTTTCCCTAGAGGCACAAATAAACTCCACACTCACATAACCTTGAAGGTAAGAACTCTGCTTCTACTTTCTACATCTGAAAGAACTTACCAAGGATGAGAATAGTGGATTGAAATCCAAGCGGTTAAACCCTTACAAGAGCCACTAGTAGCATCAGGCCCCAGTGGTCTCCTCCCTCACGATCCAGGGAACACAGAATAAGACTGAAAAACAACAGGCCGAGTCTAGGAAATAGAATAGTATACGAGCTGCCACTGTTGCATGTAACTAGCAGATGATAAATATAAAATGCAGTTCAAATAAATCTTTGCAAAGAAAGTATTACACATTCTGTAATATCGAGCCAATGTTACATATGTTTAATAACAAGTTACTCTAAGCCTTACCAAAAGATCTTTAGAAAATTCTAAAAGGGAAATTAACCAGCAGACATACAATCAAGACTTCCTCTATGACTTGTCTTACAAGGTCACTAAAAAAGTAGCAATCGGTACTTCTCCAGATGACGGACCGCACTTTATCATTTATACGGTAGTCTGTTTCCTTCACTAGATTACAAGCTTCTTGCAGGTATGGATCTATGTGTATAAAGCATGGTAATCATAAAGTCTGGAAGTGAGTAATACTGCTATTTCGTTTTTTTTTTATAAATTTGTTTTTATTTATTTATTATTTTTGGCTGTGTTGGGTCTTCATTGCTATGTGCAGGCTTTCTCTAGTTGCGGCGAGTGGGGTCTACTCTTCGTTGTGGTGCGCGGGTTTCTCATTGCGGTGGCTTCTCTTGTTGTGGAGCACGGGTTCTAGAGCACACGGGCTTCAGTAAATGCGGCGCGTGGGCTCAGTAGTTGTGGCACATGGGCTTAGTTGCTCCACAGCATGTGGGATCTTCCCAGAGCAGGGCTCAAACCCGTGTCCCCTGCATTGGCAGGCAGATTCTTAACCACTGTGCCACCAGGGAAGCCCGCTATTTCTTTTAAATAGACTGAACCCCTTTGATTACATCCCTAGGGTATACTAAAGATGCGAGTTTATTCAGTGAGAATCAGACTCACAAGTAATTAGAGGCAACACAAAGCAGATGCATGCAGGGGTGGGTGGGAATGCTGCATTCATGCCTGGCGTCCACCACAGAGGTGTGCAGCATACTGACCTACACGCTGCGTAAAGGACGGCACCTGGAACACATCATGTGACATCATGCAATACAGTATGTACTGCAATGCAGTATCATTTATGATGCATATGCACCTAAGTTTTCAGACTTTAGGACCACCCTTTAGATGCTCAATAAATGTTTCTGAAGTTAAACCATAAGTCTTTAACACCCCTCACACTAAAATCTTCTCTGGAATCCAACTCCACTATCTACGTCACAGGTTTTAAACGCCACTTGGAAAAGACAGATAAATACCTGTGCTGGCAGAGATGAGAATGGAAATCCTGCCTGGAAATCATCTGACATCTATAAAAAGCATTCAGAATGCACATATCCTTGACCCAAAGGGTCTATTTTCAGAAATTTGTCTGAAATAAATAATTGAACAATCACACAATGACAAGGTGAAAAATGTTCACTGCAGCATTCTTTAAAATAGAAAAAAAGACAGAGAGATTGCTTAGATAGAGTGTCTGTCTAAAGAATTGGAAGAGACCTTAGAAGTCATCTCATTCAACTATTTCACTTTATGGAAGAAGGAATGGAGACTCAGGGAAATTAAGGCACTTAGAACTCAGGTCTCCTGAAAAGAACACTGTTGACATGGACTCAGTGGAACAGAAGTCAGTGGAAAATAAAAGCAGAGAACAGAGATATATTTTCCCAGAGGAGCTATGCCCCTGGTGCGCGTCTCGGGGACCCCAGGGCAGGTGTGCAACCTCGGAGCGCTTCCCCACAGTCACTCCCCTGCGCATGCCAGACCGTCTCCCGGGTCCTCTCCTTGCCCTTCTCTGTGAAAATCAGCCTAAATGCCCTGGCTGCGTATATCGCTTGTCCCTGTGGAAACTCTCCAATGAGTAGTGAATGCAGTGCAAAGTGACATGCAGGACCCTGTCAGCTGATAACCAGTAAGAGCTGGGACTGCCTGCACCTTGGCTGGCATCTCCGGTCACCGGGTAGAAAACCAAGAGGCAGGCTGTGGGAGCTCTCCTGGTCAGCCCTGCCTTGCCCTCTCTTACCTCCTCTCTGCTAACATCCATGTTCCACACTGCAATTCCGCCGTCTGAGGAACAGGAGACCAGCTGCCTCGTGAGCTGAAGGTAACACAGCGACTGCACCCTGTCACTGCAAACAGCACACACAACAGTTACGTGTCTCAATGTGGAAAACACAGACATCATCTTCATGCAGGCTCAAATCTCTCCCCTCGTTGGAATCAGCCACTGACATTTTATCATTGATGATCTGGATCCCAGTATAAACTTTAATTGGCATTCTATAACTTATTATACAGAATAATAGTTTCTATGAAATAAACACTACTAATCAGTCATTAAGAACTGCAGGTCAGAGTCTCCCACCAGCGGCCGGCAGGCGCCCTATTTGTGGGGAGATGCTAACTCCACGTTTTCCCACACTGCCATCTTGTTTATAGCAATACAATCTCACCTCAAGAAACAAGAAAAATCTCAAATAAACAATCTAACCCTACACTTAAAACAACTAGACAAAGAAGAACAAAGAAAACTCGAAGTCAGTAGAAGGAAAGAAATCATAAAGATCAGAGCAGAAATAAATGAAATAGAAAGGAAGAAAGCAATAGCAAAGATCAATAAAACTAAAAGCTGGTTCTTTGAGAAGATAAGCAAAACTGATAAACCCTTAGCCAGACTCATCAAGAAAAAAAGGGAGAGGACGAAAGCAATAAAATTAGAAATGAAAAAGGAGAAATCACAACTGACACTGCAGAAATGCAAAAGGATAATAAGAGACTACTATAAACAACTATATGCCTATAAAATGACAACCATGAAGAAATGGACAAATTCTTGGAAAGGTACAATTTTCCAAGACTGAACCAGGAAGAATTAGGAAATTTAAACAGACCTATCACAAGTAATGAAATTGAAACTGTAATTAAAAATCTTCCAACAAACAGAAGTCCAGGACCAGATAGCTTCACAGGTGAATTCTATCAAACATTTAGAGAAGAGCTAATACCGAACCTTCTCAAACTCTTCCAAAAAATTGCAGAGGGAGAAACACTCCCAAATTCATTCTACGAAGCCACCATCACCCTGATACCAAAACCAGAAAAAGATATCACACACACAAAAATTATAGACCAATATCACTGATGAACACAGATGCAAAAATCCTCAACAAAATACTAGCAAACAGAATCCAACAGCACATTAAAAGGATCATACGCCATGATCAAGTGGGATTTATCCCAGGGATGCAAGGATTCTTCAATATACAGGAATCAATCAATATGATACACCATATGAACAAATTGAAGAAGAAAAACCGTATGATCATCTCAATAGATGCAGAAAAAGCTTCTGACAAAATTCAACACCCATTTATGATAAAAACTCTCCAGAAAATGGGCAGAGAGGGAACCTACCTCAACATAATAAAGGCCATATATGATAAACCCACAGCAAGCATCATTCTCAATGGTGAAAAACTGAAAGCATTTCCACTAAGATCAGGAACAAGACAAGGTTGCCCACTCCCACCACTCTTACTCAACATAGTTTTGGAAGTCCTAGCCACAGCAATCAGAGAAGAAAAAGACATAAAAGAAATACAAATTGGAAAAGAAGAAGTAAAACTGTCACTGCTTGCAGATGACATGATACTATACATAGAAAACCCTAAAGATGCCACCAGAAAACTACTAGAACTAATCAGTGAATTTGGTAAGGTTGCAGGATACAAAATTAATGCACAGAAATCTCTTGCATTCCTATACACCAACAAGGAAAAATCAGAAAGAGAAATTAAGGAAACATTCCGATTTACCATTGCAACAAAACAAATAAAATACCCAGGAGTAAACCTGCCTAAGGAGGCGAAAGACTTGTACTCAGAAAACTATAAAACACTGATGAAAGAAATCAAGGATGACATAAACAGATGGAGAAATATACCAATCCTTGGATTGGAAGAATCAACATTGTGAAAATGACTATACTACCCAAAGCAATCTACAGATTCAATGCAATTCCCTATCAAACTACCAATGGCACGGTAGTTACTACCAATGGACTAAGGAAGAAGAAAACCCTGGCCTCTATTTTTGCTACAGAACACCAGACACTCAGGCCTCACGGAAAAGCAGTTAGAAGCAGACTGAGAGAGCCCTATCAAACAGGGCTCACTGTCTGCTAAAAGACGGGGTTTGGAGAAAGTAGTCTCAGAATACGAACGCCTCCCCCGACCTGCCCCAGCTCAGATTCTTTCCCCACCCCCACAAACAGTCACGCACTGGTGGCCCTGGAGCAAGAGTGTGCGGCCTTTCCTTCCTCCGATGTCCCACATGATGATGCTGTTGTCAGAGGCTCCTGAGAAGAGTAACCGTTGAATAGGGTCCCACCAGAGGCAGGCGACACTACCTAGGCGTGAGAGAGGGAGGCTAAATGTAATTCTACATCAGGACATACACATCTGAGGCAGAAGACCGAACGAGGACCGGCTGAATCTTTAAGTAAAAATGTATTTTCATTGCACAAAAGGGCGTTCAACACTTTATCACGAGTCACAGAGAAGGCACAGCACATCCGCTGTCCCAAGCTACAAGATTAGGATTTTCAGTTGTATATCAAACTGCTTTGAACACAAATGTGTTTAAAGAAGATTTTCCCCGTCTATACCAAAAAATTATAAAATAGCTGTATATGAGGGTTAGTTCAGAAAAAGCTTTTGAAGAAAAAAAAATAGCTACCAATATCTAACGAGAAAAGGCAGTGAAGTTTTCTGTGGTTACCTTATATAAGATTAAAATCTAGGTTATTCTAGGGCTCTGGGACCTTGCAGGTGTCTTACCACAGGATGCCTACGTTTAAGAAAACTGAATTAAGTATCTCAGAGAAAAAAAAAAAGAGATGCAGGTGTACCATACAATTATGCCAGAGAACTTAGGTAAAAAAATCCAAACCCTACATTTCACACTCTATATTGGCTAAACTTATTAAATTTGATATCCTTGGGAAAATCTTTCTTTCTACAGATTTCTCTTTCAACAGATCTCTTCATTGTTCCATTGACTGCTGCTTGCCTAGAAAAAAACTATTAATAAACTTAATAAAATTGAACCAGTCACACAAGCTAATAATATTTTTGGTGGGTATACAGAAAACTGATAAAGCCACATTCAAAACCAACCAACAGAGACTAGTTTCTCACAGAAGCTTAACGAAAGTGAAAAAAGAAGTATTGTGCAAAACTGGCTTCAGGGATCAACTTTGCAGAAATCCTGACCCTGTTTGATCCTATGCCCCATGCACTTCAGCTAGAGGCCTAATAGCAGACAAGCAAGGTCCTTCTACATGAACACTGCTAAGTAGTTATCAGAACACACTCTGCCCTTAGCAACCCAGAGAATACTTAACAGCATGGGGATCATGAGACCATTAGTCATAAACAGAAAGTGGTTTCTGCCTGTGCTTTCCTGCCTAAATCTATTCAAACTTACTGTCCTTCTCTCTCCCTTTTCCCCTTCAAGGTCCCTGATCTGATAGACTCGGTTTTCCATAAATAGATTAGCTATGGAGGATATTTAACTTGTTACACTTAAAAACACTATTTTCATAAATAAGTCCATCATTAATTCCTTCAACAAACCCCCAATTCTTCGATGTGAACCAGATGGCCTCAGAGCTTCTAATTTGTGACTCAATATAGCCGATTGAGTTTTAAAGCCTTTCCACAAAGCCCGGCCAACTCACCACCCTACAGAAATAATAAAATTCCACCCAGTCATTCTTTTCCCGCGGTCCCTCCCCCGGGGATGTTTCCCAAGTAGAGACAGAACCAGCTCATACATTTCTTCTAATTGTACTCACCTACTACATCTTGCTTGGTGTCCTAGAAAGTGACAAATTTGAAACAGTAATAACAACATTCTTCCAAAGGTCTCACCATTTATAAGACATTTGAAAAGGTCTTCAAAAATAATTTAATTTAAAAGGTAAACAAAATAGAAAGTATTATCCACACAAGCCATCTAGAAGGGATTTGGACAACACGAAACCCTCCCCAACACCCTGCCTTCACTTAGTTTTCACTCTTTGAGACCTTTTGAGATTTAATCCCCCTATCTGGCCGATCGGATTGAAATCTGACAGATCATAAGGAGGTGATCATTCGTGAAACCACAGAGCTGAGAACTAAATCTGGATGCCTGAATTAGGTGAAAAACGGCGGTGATTATACAGCCTACCTTCATGTCCTTTAAGGGTGGTAATAACTGAACAGGAGCTCTGTTCAAGCTTCAGCAGGCTGATCTGTCCAGAACAGTCGCCGACAAAAGCATACTGAGTATCAAAGTCGTATCTGTGGAGACGCAGTCAAGGACATATAACACAATCCAAAGTTATAAAGAAGAAACTGTGCACCTAAAACGACGAGAAAAGAAATACCCAGCTGAAAATCATACAACGTGTACATATTGAAGAAAAAGAACGTTTTAAGCTAGAATTACCAGGAAAATTAATATTCATTCACTCAACAAGAATTCACTGAGTAGCTGTTACTATTCCAACCAGTATCCTGGGAATTGGCAAAAGAAAAGTTAAGAGCTGATGGAGAAGACAGACATAAAAACAAGTGACTATAAGCAAAGTATAACTAAGTGTTAAAAAGTAAAATGCTCAATAGTGAAAACAGCCAAAAAGAACTGGAAGAAAACTGCTTTTCATGAAATATCTCTGGAAATGGTGTAAAACTGACAGCAAATATGGACATGAACCCATCTTTTTGGGGGGCCTAGATGATTTAGCCTTAAGTGAAGAGGATGGTTTAAATTGCTGTGAAGAGTTTTAATTTTAATCATCCAAACGGCAGTCATTTGGGGTAGTAGTAAACTTTAAATTTAAAAATATATTAACTATTGGCAACAACTCATTACTTTCTTGGTCGCTTTATGGCCATAGACATTTGTGGCAAATCAGTAGTTTACCCACAATAAGATAACTACTATTTTAATTCCAAAACATAGATCAAAAGGAGGACCACAGGCTGGGCCATGATTATGTGATTCGGTGCCATTTTCTATCCATCCATACGAAAGCCAAACACATAACAGAAAAACTTATTTAGCACTTGATACATCTGAGTAGTCTTCCCTTGCTTGATTCTAAAGCATGTGGTACTATTTTAAATATCTCATGCTGTGCATTCATTTGTAGCACACATTTTTTTATAAAGGCTTTCAATGGAAGAAAAGAGTTTTACTACACCAGACGTCCAACTCTCAAAGAGAAACTACTGCGGGGCATTTGTCTGTTGCTGACAGCCTTGACCTTGCCATCGCTAAGATACACAGCTACCACAGGCAGCCTTAGGCAAGAGGGAGCTCTACGTGAAACAAATCCCATAGAGTAGTAGAAAAATTTGAGAGCGGCAATTCTGTAACATTTGGGGCATCCTGAGGCAACTTTGCGAGTATTATAAGGATTATGAACCCTCTCCAGACACACTGTAGCCCATTTATGAACTCCAGGGTCACAGACCCTTCTTATGTTCTCCTGTGGGGTCTGCAAAGAAACCATCACCAGAAGAGTCGTTCCTTTCTTTCTTTCTTTCTACAGCAGAAAGTCTTTTCTTTCACTTTGAAAAGCAAAGGAGTGAAGGGAGGGGTCTGCGCTAATGAGGTTTAGGTTTTCCGAGATCTTGTAGTAAAACACCGAGAGCACGTCCCAGCAGAGAAGAGCAATTCATTTAGCTATCATCTTTAATAAACCGACTTTACAGCAAAAAAGCAGAGATAGAAGTTCTTAGATGTTATGTGAAATATGTAGGTCTCGTTCAGTCTTTGGATCTCAATCAGCAATTTCCAAGCAGATTCAAAACTAGCTGCTGAGACCGGGAGGCGCTGCAGGGAAGGATACTGCAGACACGAAGTCCAGGAGGTGGAGAAGTGCCTCCCCAGCATGTTCCCGCTGCGGGTGCACATCCAGCTGACACACTTGTCGTGGCCCGTGCTGATCACCCACTCTGTGGCCAGGCTGAAGATAATCGCGGTCACCCGGTTCTGATGGGCTGTGGGGACAGAAAGGGAAAGTCTGCGCCCTTCAGGAAGAAACGTGACCTTTGGAGTCCAGTCTCCGCGGGTGTGAACTGAGGCTCCCCTTCTCCACTTGGTCGGCCTGCAGACTCACATGCTCAGCAGTCCTATCCCGGAGAGGCCCGCACTCCAAACAGGCTGTGGAGCATCTGCCCACCCCAACCCAAGATCTATCGCAGGCTCTCCGTGGCCCTGCCCTCTGCCTCCCTACAGGGAAGACCATCAAAAGCTACAAATCATTACAGAGTAAGGCTCAAGAGGGATTCAAATAATATATTAGAGAACTGATTAAAAAACACACATACAACTCTCAATGAATTCCATATGGAAAACAGCAGTCTTAATCTCAACAGAATAGGTTTGTTTGTTTTTTATTGTCTATACCTTTAGTGTTTTGACTCTTTAGAAAACACTGGCATTGTAAAAAAGGGCAACTGAGATTTTCTGAAATTAACTTTTTATTATTTTTAAGATGAAGCATTTGTAAAGTTCTGCATCCCAAAGCAACAGCTGAGAATGAGGAAGGTGTTCTATTGCCTAACTTCTAGAATATTTGTATTTCCAGGTCAATTGCAAGTCACATCAGGGCAGTGACCTGTCTACTTTATCTGGAACAGGATCTTGCATGCAGCTGGTGTTTAATAAATGCCCAGTTTGATGAATGAAGTCAGAGGCTAGACAGAGACACTTCTGACCTTGCTCTCAGCTGTGTAGGCTGCTTCAGAAAAACGGAGGGGCTCTCATAAATTAATCAGAAAATACTACAACTCCCAGGAAATATGGGCAAAATCATGAACAGATATTCATAAAACATGACAAATGGCCAACATTAAATAAAGCCTAAATAATTTTAAAACTGAGAACAACTTTTGACTATCAAACTGGCAATAAACATTTATAAAGATCAATATAGACTTAATGAACAGGTACTCTCAATCACCACTCATTAAAAATTTACACTATTGCTGGAAAGAGTTTTGCAAAATAAATCCAGAGTATTAAAAAAAGTTTTAAAGTTTGACCCAGTTATTCTACTTTTAGTAATCTGTCTTAAATAGAAGTAAGGAGTTACAGAATTAGAGTAAGAGTAACCATCAAGGACACACACACACACACACATATGTGTGTATACATATATATGAAATATACACACTCACAGATATGTATACACACATATACACACCATCATATATGTTAGTATGTGTTATCAAAAAATGGAAGCAGTATACATTTTCAAAAACAGAGGAATGGTTAAATTAAATCTGCACCCAATGGAATATTATACAAAATTTCAAATGTTAATGAGCAGGAAAAGGACGGTAAATAATTCTGAAGAGCTAATAGCCTCCCACATAACTGGGGTAACAACACTTTTAAAGAGTTAATGTGAAAACCTAATTTTGATCATAAGACATGGTATTCTAGTTGTGTGTGTGTGTATTATAATTACCTGGGTAGGTCTTGATAAAGTTCATTTTATTAAAATCTTCAGAAACGTGAAATTCCTAAAAGTAAACACATGCAATAAGAAAACAGTTACGGTTTTAAAAACAACAGGACCTTAACTTTCAAAAGGAAGTAAAATCCAAAAATGGCCACCACCAGCCTTGGGACTCAAGATTAGCTACGTAAGAACAACAGGGAATTGCTTCTTGGTCCTGTCCTCGGGTTATCATTTCTTTTGGAACCAGACAAGTAAAGAAAGTGCTGCTGACCAGCACAGCACTTTTGTCCAATTCTTCCTCTACAAATGAGTGCTCTGTGTTTCCTCTCCCTCTAATTGCAAAGGAGGCATCTTGTTAATTTTGCTCTTTTGGCTTCACTAGAATTTCCTCAAGATGACACATACAAAGTAAAACTACAAAGACCCATTACTAACAGAATTCTCAGCACTAATGAAAATAAGGCATTGGGTATCTGAGGCAATAGAAGAGGAAAATTACGTATACTTAATATATAAACACACACTAAAAAGGAAATTTAGACACTGGGTGTTTTTTATTTTTAATACTCCTGTATCTTCCAAAATTTATACAGACTATGTAATACTTTATAACTAGGAAAAAATTAAAAGTACATATTTCTTAATGAGAAAGTGAGCCTCAGCATAAAACTGAGAAGATAAAACTCTAAAGAAAAAGCACTAATTAAAAATTCTATTGATCAGCGTTAAATTGATAAGTCCTTAAGGGTCTCGATAACATGGACATTATGAATTGCTGATTGGTCAGGAAGAAAAAAAGAAACCAACCCACAAAGGAATACTGATTCCTTGTCCTCCATCTTGGTTTTTTACAAAGTACAAAAATGTATCAGCATTTTATACATACTAATTTCTACTTGGGGGAAACCAATAGATTAATACTAACTAATAATAAATTGAATTTACATTGCTCCTTTCCACTGAGGAGCTATAAGGGTTTTTATATGCCATCCTATAACTGCAGAGAGTACCCTTGAACCACGAGCCACAAGAATGGTCCCTAGAGAAATAAATGCATGACCACTACCAGCACTGGAGAAGGCATTTGAGGCTTGCACTCGTGGCTTCTCGTTATATGTGTGTACACATCGCCACGATATTCCTATAAAATCTTCAGAGGGAGAAAAACAAGACCACTGGCATTTATCACTACACAACGTATACACAGCAGCCCCAAGCAGGTGGGCGCTGACCCCCAAGCCCGCAGCTCCCCAGCCCTCCCCGGCTGCCCACTGTTGCGTGAACTGCTTAAGCAGAGAGCCTGTCCTTTCTCTTGGCTTTCTTCCTTGGCCCTTAAACACACTCAAGGCTTCTTCTCCTTTACTTTAAAAAGCAAAACAAGCAAACAAAAAACAACAAAATTCTCTTAACGATACCAAAACTTTCTTCATCCCCTACTCAGCCAAAACCTTCTCTCCAGATGAGCCCACACTCACCACGTTCAGGGTCTCCAGCTGCTCACCCCGGTCACTCGTGAATCCACCGCACCGCAGGGCACCACCCCCGCTGCATGGGAAGGGTTCTCCCTGCAACCACCAGCTGCTGTCTAGCTGCCATCCCCAAGGTCGTGTCCCTGCTCTGATCTTAGGCCCTCTTCCCACATGGCCCATTCCGTCTCTGTCTCCCCTGTGGGTTCCCAACCCCCTGACTTTCTCTTAAACGTTGATATTCCCCAGGGAACATGACCTTGGCCCTCTGCTCTTCTCGTCGTACCGCTATCCCTAATTGACGCCAGCCACAGGCGTGGTCTCCACTGAGACCTAAATTGGGAGGACTCCCAACCCCAGCCCAGGCCAACCCCTTGGGCACATGAACCCAACTGTCAAAACTGAACCTGTCACCTTTCCCCTCAATATCAGCGTGTCTTCTGTCTCAGGGAGCAGCTAACCGTTCACCATCACCTTGGCTAGAAACCGGATGCCATCTTACCACCACTGCTCTCTATTAAACACCTACATCTAATCAAACATCTTCCACATATCCGCACACTAAGCGAACAGACAGACACCTGACCGTTCCATCCTCCCCGACTTGATGCTCCTCAATGGCTCCCCATCATGCAGTGACTCCCTAATGCACTCGATCCTAAGGGTCAACGAAAGGACTTGCTAAAATACAGATTCCCAGGCCCCTCCCTAGTGCTTCTGAAGCTGTGGGTCTGGCATGGAGCCAGGCAACGCGAATTTCAGTAAGTCCCCTAAATGATAAATGTGACTGACTGTGCAAGCGTGGGAAGCTCGGCTTACACGATGTAGTCCAGGCTCCTTCATGCACACTCAGATCACTATTTCCCCTTCCTTCCTGGCTGCCTTCCTCATCAACCCCGCTCCTAAATCAGTCATTCAGGACTCAGGCCTGGGGCCTGTCTTTTCTCATTCTCTCCCCAGGAGATCACAGCTATTCTTTTCTTTTTTTTTTTTTTGCGGTACCCGGGCCTCTCACTGTTGTGGCCTCTCCCGTTGCGGAGCACAGGCTCCGGACGCGCAGGCTCAGCGGCCATGGCTCACGGGTCCAGCCGCTCCGCGGCATGTGGGATCTTCCCGGGCCGGGGCACGAACCCGTGTCCCCTGCATCGGCAGGCGGACTCTCAACCACTGCGCCACCAGGGAAGCCCGATCACAGCTATTCTTATGGCTTGAAAGATGCCCTATGTGCAGATGACTCCCCAGCCCGGGCTCCCACTGGGCTCCAGGCCTGCAAATCCAATGCCAATTCCGCATCGCCATTGGTTGTCTCACTGGTATCTCAGCTGTACAGCTGGTTCCTCACTGTCTTCTTTCCCTGTAAATGCCCCCTCTCCCCACATACCCCTAAGCCTTTCTCTTCTCAATAAATGATACCTCTGTCTAGCAGTTACTCAAGCCAGAAACCTGGCCGTCACCTGAGTTGCTGCCCTTCCTCCCCTCCCCACACCCAACCTGCCACAGATGTATGTCCGTCATCTGCTTCTGTCCATCATCACTGCCACTGCCCTCTCACCCAGAAAGCGACAACACCTGACGTTCCCGCCTCCACTCTTGTGGCCCCTCCATCCACTCTCCACTCAGCAGCCAGAGTGATCTTTTAAAAATGTAAATTAAATCACGCCATTCTTCTGCTGAAAACCCTGTAAGCGCTTCCCACAGATTTACAAAACTTAAAACTTCTCCCAGACCTACAAGGTCCTGCGTGACCTGGCCTCAGCCCGCTTGTCCTATCGCCCCTCGTCCTGCCCCGTCGCTCAGCACCATCCAGCCAAGACGACCCCCTTCACGTCCTCAGACACAGAGATCTTCCTGCCTCGAGTCTTTACCTGGACCTTCACTTCCGGAAAACTTACTCTGGCTCTGCCTGGCTGTCTCCTACCTGCCCTTCAGGCCTCAGCTGAACGTCACACCCTTGGAGCGGTCTTCCTTCCTGAGGATCCTGTTTGCTACGAGCGGGGCCACACATCTCTCTGGATTCCCTCTTCCACTGCGCCCGTTCACTTCTTCACAGCACCTACCACAACCTGTAATTTCATGTTTACTTGTATATTACCTGTCCCTCCCATGAGACCATAAGGCTCCTGAGAGCAGGGACCATGTCTACCTTCTTAATTAGCACTCTGCATGACACCTAGTGCTGAATGCAAGGCTCTCTGTGACCCGCTCCAGCCATCTCTTCAGTCTTATGTGCTTCACGCTGCCAAGCTGCTTCATTCTTGCTCCCTGCACACACCCTGACTTTGAAAACCCCTCTGTCTTTGCTCATGCTGTCCTCTGCGTCTGGAAGTCCTCCTCCCTCTTTCCTGGTTAACTCCTAGCCATCCTCTATGACTCAGCACAGTAACAGGCTGGCCTTGCCGCTCTCTGGCCAGGTGCAGGCACCGGTCTGTGCTCTCACTGCTCTGTGTGCAGTTCTATAAAGCAGTGATACTCAAAGCGCGGTCTGCGGACCACTGGTCCTGATGAAAGAAGCAGAGAAATAGGGAATGTGTGTTCAGAAGCCTTTCCAGCAATTTAATATTATTATGACATCCAAGCAGACAAAACCAGCAAATTTTCTCAATCAACAATGTAATACCCAAAATATCAATCCAGCAAACTAAACTCAAAGCAAACCGAAGGAAAAATAATAGAGTTGAAATGCATTATCAGAGAATCGAAAAAAACAATAGAGAATCAATTAAATCAAAACTGGTTCTTTGAAAAAAATCAACAAAATTAACACACATTTAGCCAGAGTGGGAAAGAAAAAGAGAGAGACGATTCAAACTACTAAATTCAGTAATGAAAGGGGGAGCGTTACTATAAACCTTACAGAAAGAAAAAGGACTGTAAAGGCTGCTATGAACAATTACATGCCAACAAATTAGATAAGCTAGATAAAATGGACAAACTCTTAAAAAGACATAAACAACAAACACTGGCTGAAGAAGAAAAAGAAAACCCATAACAAGTAAACAGATTAAATTAGCACTCAAAAAACTTCCCAGGACGAAAAGCCCAGGACCAGGCGGTTTCACTGGTGAAACTCTTCCAAGCTGAAGGTCCAAGTATTTTACAACTCAACAATTAAAAAAAAACAAAAAAACAAAAAAACGCAAAGGACTTGAATAGATATTTCTCCAAAGAAGATATACAAATGACTAACAGGCACGTGAGAAGATGCTCAAGATCACTAGCTATTAGGGCAATGCAAATCAAAACCGGAATGAGATACCGCTTCACACCGACTAGGATGTCCATAATAAAACAAAAACAAACCCAGAAAATAACAAGTGTTGGTAAATATGTAAAAAACTTAGAACCTTTATATATTGCTGTTGGGAATGTAAAATGGTATAGCAACTTTGGAAAACAGTTTGGCAGTTCTGTAAAAAGTTAAGTACAGAGTTACCATATGACCCAGCAATTCCATTCCTAGGTGTACATACCCAATAAAATTGAAAACTTAGGTTCACACACAAACTGTTATGCGACTATTCATAGTAGTATTATTCATAATAGCCAAAAGGTAGAAACAACCCAACTATCCATCAACTAATGAATGGATAAACAAAGTGTGGTATAATCTATGTAACAGAATATTATTCTACTACAAAAAGGAATGAAGTATTAATTCAAGCTACAACATAGATGAACCTTGAAAATATTATGCTAAGTGAAAGAAGCCAGGCATAAAAGGATATACACCTTATATGATTCTATTTACATAAAATGTTTAGAATAAGCAAATCTCTGAATCAGAAAGTAGATTAGTTACTGCCAGGAGCTGAAGGAAAGGGGACTGTAGTGTGACTGCTAATGGGTGCGGGATTTCTTTTTTTCGGGGGTTGGAGGAGCTGATAAAAATGTTGTAGAATTAGAGTATTAACGGTTGCATGATCTTGTAACTATACTATAAGACCAATGAATTGCACACTTTAAACTGGTGACTTTTATGGTATATGAATTACATCTCCATTAAATATATGCATACACACACAGTTAGACCCACAAAAATACTAATCTATAATAAACTGAAAATTTAACTATCTGGTCCTTCACCAAAGACAGTTTGAGATGTAGAGACTCAAAGAGTTATATGAGCTGTTGGCTGAATGACTAGTCCCTAGTCTTATTTTCCTTCCTTCTCACCTTATACACATACAAACACACACACACACACACACACACGTGTGCTCTCTCCCACACTTTCCTTGCCCCAGCCTCCTCCTTCACGGGTTCAGGGATCAGGGCTGCTACAGGACTCACGTCCCCTGTACGAAGGTTGTACTTTGTGGGCTAGACTGAGCACCAAACCATCAATCATGACAGCATTCAGAGCTCCATGGAACTCCAGATGGTCCCTGACTTACGATGGTTCAACTTACGATTTTTCAATTTTACGATGGTGCTAAAGCAATGCGCCTTCAGTAGAAACCACGCTTCGATTAATGTTGATCTTTTCCCAGGTGACTGATATGCCATACGATCCTCTCTCATGATGCTGGGGAGGGGCAGCCGCAGCCCCGCTCAGCCATGTGACCATGAAGGTTAACAACCAACACACTTACCATCATTCTGGACTCACACAACCATTCTGTTCTTCACATTCAGTATGGTATTCAATGATTACATGAGATATTCAATACTTTATTATAAAATAGGCTTTGTGTTAGGTGATTTTGCCCAACTGTAGGCTAATGTAAGTGTTCTGAGCACGTTTAAGGTAGGCTAGGCTAAGCTGCGATATTCAGTAGATTAAGTGTATTAAATACATTTTCTTTTTTTTATTAATTAATTATTTTTTTTTTTTTTAAGTTTTGGCTGCGTTGGGTCTTCGTCGCTGCGCGCGGGCTTTCTCTAGTTGTGGCGAGCAGGGGCTACTCTTCGTTGCGGTGCACGGGCTTCTCATTACTGTGGGTTCTCTTGTTGCGAGCTCTAGGCGCGCAGGCTTCAGTAGTTGTTGCTCGCGGGCTCAGTAGTTGTGGCTTGCAGGTTCTAGAGTACAGGCTCAGTAGTTGTGGCGCATGGGCTTAGCTCCTCTGCGGCACGTGGGATCTTCCCGGACCAGGGATCGAACCCGTGTCCCCTGAATTGGCAGGAGGATTCCTAACCACGGCTCCACAAGGGAAGTCCCAAATGTATTTTCAACTTATGATATTTTCAATTTACAATGGATTTATCAGGGTTTATCAGTAAGTTGAGGAAGATCTGTAGTTTACAATTAAGCACTAACTAAAATTAATCCATTTTTAGGCCTAACATCTGTACCGGATGAAACATTTTCTAATGCCAAACAAGCAGGCATTCATTGTTAGCTTTATTTACACTGTCCAACAGGAGTGAACACAGGAGGTCAGTATAATGAATACATCCTGGAGGCTACCTACCATCACGGCTCCGTTATCCTGGCCCACAAATATCCGTCTGCTGTCATGATGGTAAGCCATGGCCGAGCAAGGAGCTGCCAGAAAGACAAAGACCACGTTACGCGCAAAGCTAAGCATGGTGAGTCATTGTTCCAGGGACATTATTAAAAAGAGCCATAAAACTTAGGTTCAAAGAAAGAGGGCAAAAACACTTTATAAACAGAAATATTACTAAAATTCTGTTGTCTTAGTGTAAAACTTTAACAATCTTCCAAGTTACTTTTATAACTTTGGGTGAAGCGAGCTCCATGAAGTTTCATCTGCTTGAAACTCCCACCTGTTTCTGGAAAGGTCTGGGGTCCAGTGCTTAGAGTAGGTGATCTGCTACCCAAATTCCACAGGTCATCCTGCCCCTCCCGCTTCCCCATCACAGGTAAAACAGCACCTGGTATCTGTGGAAAGAAGGGTTCCCGGCACCACAATTTCCTTTCCGTGGCATGTGAGCAAGCTGGGAAAGCCACTTTGGGATTACTTGGTTTTTTTTCCCAATGATGAAAAAAATGTTCCGTTTTGCGATGACTCATACAACCCCAGTTTGTGGTAACGCGTTGTGAGGGGTAGACATGTCTCTTTGCCCACAGCATGTCATGTGACTAGGACAGCCCCGACTCTTCCCAGGTATGCACCCCTCTTCCAGCTTCTACATAGTCTTCTGCCAGAAAGCATGGGCCAGAGAATGAGTTTCACAAAGGAGAAACTCTAAACTGTCTCCTCTGCTAAAAATCAGAATTAAAGTGATTTAGAAAATGGAACATTTGGAAAAAGAAATGTTTGGGTTCACTTCAGGCTTAAGAATTTTAATTGACTGTGGAAAGAAATGCATGCTAGGAAATAAACAAATGAGTTTATTTTGAAATAAAACTTCTTAAAAAAAGTAAAAGAGAAAAATCTTATAAATGAAGTTACCATTTGAAAACAGTTTAAAGTTCTCTAACTACAATGGCTGATATTCTCCACCAAAGGAAGAAAATAAACTACAAAACTGAATCGTACTCAAAGGCAGAAACACAGTTAGCTGTGTGATCAGACCATTTCAGGGGCATTCAAAAAACTATCTCGTTGAAATGTAGAGACCAAAACTGTCTACACACAAAACAATCAGAACTGACTACAAGTTTGTACACCCTTATCCACCATATTGATGTTTCAAACTACAAAGAATGATCATGTTTAAGAATTATAACCACAAAGATATATGTATCTTCATAAAAAGTGCTTTTTAATAACCACGCATAAAATTATCTTTGAGAAATCAAATCTCTTTGATGATTTTAAAGATTCACTGTCATCATTTTTGCTTGCTTTTCAGTTGGTACTAAATCTTAATGCTTTAGTTTTAAGCTTCTTTTCAATTCTTTTTATGCCCAATCCTATAACTAACTGTACATAAACATGTTAAAATCTTTTGCGTAAAAATTACAATGTGCTGAGTAATTTTATAAGACTAGAGAATTCTCACATATTTTTTAAAAAAAGCCTTGCTAGTTTGCTGTGTATCTAAAAATGTCCTGGCTTTTTTCCTAGAAGGGAAGCTTCTACTGAGAGAAACTATATATATATATTTTTTAATGTGAATGTTCACATAGTTTTCTTTTGTTTGTTTGCTTGTTTGTTTTTGCGGTACGCGGGCCTCTCACCGTTGTGGCCTCTCCCGCTGCAGAGCACAGGCTCCGGACGCGCAGGCTCAGCGGCCATGGCTCACGGGCCCAGCCGCTCCGCGGCATGTGGGATCCTCCCGGACCGGGGCACGAACCTGTGTCCCCTGCATCGGCAGGTGGACTCTCAACCACTGCGCCACCAGGGAAGCCCCACATAGTTTTATAAATAAGCAAAACACAAATCATCTTTCAAATCAGTGACCTTTTAAAAAGGCACCATTGCAGTCCAAAATCATATGCTTAAAACTTTAGTTTTGTAAACAAAGGGTTTTCTGGAATATCGTCAGGCTCTTTCATTTATGTATTCCTTATGGCTGCTTTCACATTACGATGGCAGAGTTGAGAAGTTGCCACAGAGACTGTTTGGCCCATAAAGCCTAATGTTTATGTCTGGCCCTTTGCAGAAAAAGTTTGTGGACCCACCCCATATTGCGGTGAGCAGCACAGTTTTGGAGTCAGGTGGGCATGAACTGGAATTCCAACCTCTGGCCTCAGTTTCCTTGTCTACTAAATGGTGAAAATATCATCTACCTTATATAGCTGTTGTGATGATTTCATAACATAGTACCAAAAGACAAAAATGCATGAGGCACATAGTAGATACAGAAACTAAGAGTTACATTTTTCTTCAGCTAAAGCAGATTCTGAAAGTTAGTTTTGTTATGTGAGGTAATGTTCTGAATCCTAATTGGTCCACGTACAGCAACATTCTAAGGTTTGCTTACTGATCACCTCTGTTAGGTCACAGGAAACAAACTGGTGGATGACCACTAAAATGGCCTCAGCCAGGTAACCTGCAGACAGTTTTTAAAACCAACACGGCCCTTTTCTTCTCAGACTTCACATTTAATTTTAAAATAAAACAGACAAGCAGTTATTTCTCAAAATTCATTCATTCCGTTTTCTTCTGGCAATGTTCTTGCAATTTCATCAGTAGACATTGTTCCAGATGGAGGTGATAAAGAGGCATCTGGAAGCAACAGGCTGCATACGTGTAGATACAAACATGAAGGTGTCAGTCACCCACAGCAGAGCTGTGTCTTTACTAGTCTTTCCAGCCACAGCGCCGGAAGCTACTTCTGGAGGGTACAGTTAGGCCAAGGTAGCAAGGGATGGCAAGAGAGAAAGCAAAGCCATGTGCCCAAGACCCAAAAGCCAAGGAAGAGTGTGCACTGCTACTGCTAGGTTCTGGTGCCCTGGGGGAGAAATCAATTACAAAGTGAACTAAATATCTGGGGGAAATACAAGTCAAGGAGTCACTGAACTAAACACTGGACAAAAATCGATCTCAGTCTCTCTCTGTTCTTAAGAGCATGAACTCCAAGGTTGAGGTCTCAGGAGATTGAGCTGTGGCCAGATTATGAAGTGCGGGGTAATGGAGAGGAGGGAGGGATAACAGCAAGAGCATTAGCAGGACTGTCCACAAAGACGGCAAAACATCCCCCAGCACAGGTAGCAGGTCCCCAGGCTGTTGCTATTCCCAGCTATCAGATCTCTCACTGGGTCACTGGAAGTAAGGAGTTAACTGTCTAAGTTAACTGCCTTTTATTTTTCAGTTGGGTAAAGGATAGGCTCAGAGGCCCAGAGTATCCCACCTACCTCTGCCCTGCTCCCTCAAAATCCCAAAGTAAATTTATCAAATGGGCTCCATAAGCACCTTCACAAGACATCAGCCGCTTCCTATTTCACACTGAGTAACCAAGGTGACGAATCCACAGACACACACGGACACAGGACGGGAGGTACTACTGCCTGGCATAGTAAATCATGATTAGGGTTTCAGGTAGTCTTAACACACTGCACATGGTAAAGTCTTCTGGTTCCTTTTATAATAGTTAGCTTTATACCCGTATTCCAAAGAGTCCACTTCATTTTCACTGAATGGTTATCAAGATAGAGAAGATAAGCAGCCTGCCCAAGCTGTCGGTAGAAGGCAGAACAAATGAAAATCCTGATAAACTACTAATTATTTGTGGAAATGCTTATAGGATCTAAACCCTGCACGTACCCTGCGATAAATGTGCAAATGAGAAAGCGCTAGCCAAGAAAGGAGGTGCTTGGAAGGATGACTCAGGCTGATATAAGGAATCTGCTGAATAACTGGCAGCTCTGTGTTTGTAAGAAACTCCACGGCCCCTGGAATAACTCTTAAGGGAGCTGTGAACAGTGTCCACAGCGTCTGGAACTAGCAAACACTCTTCTTTGGAGAACTTCGTAACAGTCGTCACTAGCAAACCGTCAAGCCTGCTCCGGAGCCTTTTGTCTTTTCCTAGGGGATCCTCTGATTATTGAAACCTTAACTGAGGAAAAGCCCTCATTAAGGACCAAAACCACCAGGAAATAAGCAGCTACGGATGCCTTCCGTGTGGCCACTGGGGGGGGGGGGGGGGGGGGGCAGGACACAACCCCAGCTTGGACCTGGGTGGTATCCAGGCACTTTTTTCAAGAAAGGATGGAGAAGTGGGAAAGAAGGATGCAAAGCTGCTTAGATCTGCAGGAAGGGCTGGATTTAAATGTAATTTTATATCACGACATCTCAGGGCTGTTCTAAAATCTCAATGCAAAAGCTTTATGGTCAGGGTTTATTTTTAGAACATATTTGACTACTGAGAAACATCTCCATTTAGAATGCGTTGTGCCCTGGACCAAATCTCTCAACAGTACCCAGAGTTTATGAAAAAGTTGCACAAAAGGCCAGTTAAGAAGGCAGAGTGTTCAGAGCCCTGTTTTAGTGTCAATATCAGCTATTACTAAGAAGAAAGTTACTACTAATGTAAGTTGGCAAAAGGAAGACAAAGGAAAATGGAGGAGGTGGGAGGCTTTCCTCTTCCTTTTATTCTTTCCACTTCTGTTCAAGTCCACTTCACTTAAGCCGGTAGACCCAGCTTCATTCACAACGGAAAGGGAGTCTTCCTGTGGTTTAACACAGCCTATCAGAGGTATTAGGCAACTAAGAAGCTCATTTTGAAATCTAGCGGCATTTTTTTTAATCAGGAATTTTGAAATTTAAATCCTCAAAGACAGCTACTCACAGGCCATTGTGTGGTAAATGCTGGGCCAGTACTGACCGCTGTCTCTTTTCAGCCATACGCGGATAGTTCTGTGGAGAAAAGCAAAGAAAAAAACGAGTAGTCTTTAGTAATTTTACCTTCTTTTCTGCTCCAGGCAAACTTTTAATTTTATTTTCAGTATTGTTTCCCATTGACCTTATAACATTAATCAACTGGAAAAATTAGACAAATACACACACAGAGCATCATGGTATACTTTATACTAGTATATATGTGTATATACACACACACATATTATATAGCTACCTACAGTATGTCCATACATGGCGAGTTATGCAGTAACTAGGAGTCAGGATTCTAAATAACTTTCATAATATGGAAAATGTTCATTATATATATAGTGATATACAAAGAAAGCTGAGAACTATTAACTACTTTTCTTGGCAACAAACTGCAAACTGGGTCGCTTGGCTGTCTCAGCCAAATGAGAGTCGTAGACGTAAGTGGAAAGAAAACGTTCCTGGAGAACTGGGAGAGACGTGCGTACAAAGCAGAGCCCACACCACTGCTCGTTCGCAGATAATTCCCAGTCGTCTCGGCCCCGGGAGGAAATCCTTCCACACCCGTCTCTGAGCCTCTCCTTTCACCAGAACGCACACAGAGAGATGAGGAAATCCTGGACACAGGCAGGAAAATGACACACGACCAAAACAGCCAAAGTTTAATCCTTTGGCTTATCACCTCAGAAGAACACTATGGAATATTTCTCCAGCACTCATGGAACCTCCAGGAAGCTCCGGGCCCCTTCCTCTTCAGAGTGGGACACTCACTGCCTTTTCCGGCACAGCTGTGCTCTGCCTTCGCCGTGACTCCTGTCTCAGTGTCCCTTATTGTCAGCTCTGTCACACTCTTGTATTTCTAACAGCAACACAGATTCTGGCCCACCGCCAGCACTGAATTAATGGTTGCAACCTTGAACTAAAATACAGTAAGGCTAAATGTTGACACTGTGTTTCCATTCTGCTTGAAGTTCAAGACAAGTAAGACAGGTCCATGAGGATAAAAATCAGAATAGTGGTTACTTCTGGGGGTGAGGACAGAATGCAGTGAAGGGATGTGAAGGAACCTTCTAGGGCCATGGTAAGGCTCTGGGGAGTAGGTGACGTGGGTGTATGCATCTTTCAGAACCTGCCCAGCTGTACTTAAGATCTTACAGATTACTGTAAATGATTAGAGCTAAATAAAAGAAAATAAAGACTAGATGTTGACTTTCATTCATCCAAATAAATAAGACGACCTGGCAGCACAGCGGGAATCATGCTATTTTAAAGGTGAACTGGCTATACAGGCCTTAGTGTAGGAACAGCCATTTGTAAAACACGACCCAACTTCCAGCCACTGCTAACTGGTCATGATGGAACCTTTGGCCAAGTTGAATCCCTCAGAATTTTTCTCTACATCCCACCTCTGATCACGACTGGCCAGACCAGAAATGGGATCAGTCAGTTCCTTCCCCGGGAACTCAGAAACCAGGAGAGACAGAAATAGATCAGTATGTCTCCAGTAGTTGAAATGACTGCTTCTCGTCACACATTTTGCAAGTTGGACTGGAGAATTTTGTACGTTAATAAAAGGGAAAGAATGAAGCCGACCGAAGAGGAGAAGCAGTAGCGAGCTGGAGACAGTCCAGGTGGAGAGTCCCCCATGCCAGCTGCTCCTGAGGCCGCTATTTCCCTAGACTTGGGTTCCATGAGGCAGATGCCCCAGCATCCTCACCATAAACACCCTCAGCGGCTTAAGCGAATCTGAGTAACCTTCGCTATTTGCAAGCAAACAGGTACTCATACACTGTGTCTGCGTGGGACACCATGAAGACTCTCAGACACTGTCTCTTCGTTCAAGCACCATTAAACAAGATCCTACGTGACGACGTTCACAAGGCAAGGCACTCAGGCAGACTCCTTCAGGAGTACCTATATTGTGATAGGAAGTCCTAGAAAGTTCAAGTTCACAACCAAAATTAAAAGGGAAAGAGAGAGAAAGATCAGACTAAAGCATCTGTGAACAGACCTATACTTTTTACTGTTTGTAGTTCGACATCTTAAATCAAAATTTGACACTCTCTGAGGTAACGTTTTAAACCACTGTTATTATTTGTGGGTTCTTGGTTACTGTTCATGATTATTTAGTTTTCTTCTTCCACAAACCTCAGAGGTTAAGACTTTTTCATGGAACAGATCTTTCTAGTTTGAAACCATTTAAATGAAGCGATGAAAAATATTTAATGGGGATTTCCCTGGTGGCGCACTGGTTAAGACTCTGCCTGCTAATGCAGGTGACACAGGTTCAAGCCCTGGCCCGGGAAGATCCCACATGCTGCGGAGCAACTAAGCCTGTGCGCCACAACTACTGAGCCCATGCGCCGCAACTACTGAAGCCTGTACGCCTAGAGCCCATGCTCCGCAACAAGAGAAGCCACCGCAACGAGAAGCCGCAACGAAGAGTAGCCTCCGCTCACAGCAACTAGAGAAAGCCTGCGCGCAGCAACTAAGACCCAACAACGAAGACCCAGTGCAGCCATAAATAAATAAATAAATATATTAAAAGAAAATACTGCTTATTTCTTTAGGTGTGATAACGGTGTTGCAGGTTTTTGCTTGTTTTTTAAAGAAGTAAGCAGTAATGCCTACCTGGGACACTGGCCCTTGTCTCTGTTCTCAGCATGCTCACCACCGTCCAGCCCTCATCACTCATGCCTCAGTGCAGCCTCCTTTCAGGTTATGTGGTGGGCTCATCCCCCTGGTCCACCTCGGGCATGTCGACGACTGGCTACATCTCCCAAGGAACCATGCATCCCACTGCCCCTGTGTTCAGAGCCCACCAATTGTTGTCTCACATCAGGGGTTCAACTGACGTAATTATGATTCCCAGACCCAGATCCTACATCCCAGCAAGCTTTCAACCTCAGATGCCCCAAATATGCTGAGCTCAGGTTATGTCCTAATCCCTCCTCCCTCACCACTCCACCAAGGACTTTTCTCTCTAGGCAGTAGTTCATCTGGGCAGTACCCGCAGGATGGGTACCATTTCAGCATGACCTCCCTCACCTAAATTAATCAATAGAAGCTTATAATGATGATCCTTAGGCCTGAACTACTAACACAATATTACATTCTGTTGACTATATTTTATGTTACTTAGTACAGAATGTTTATGGATACGTTTCATTACTTATGTTCAACATAGGGGATGAAACAGGAGTTATAAGAAGTCAAAGGCCAACTCACCTCTAAGCATTAAATCTGTTAAAGGATTCTACTCCACTTGCAAAGACAGGACAGCAAAGGCCAAGGTACTTGAAGATGAGAGCACCGTACAGCGCCTTCATTCACTCAAAGGGATTAAACCTATCTGTCTGGTTTTTCAAGGGTCTAAAGACCAGAATGCTGATGTAGCCTAAAAGCCCCCAGATCACCCCCAAAAGTTGTGGGTCATGAATGCACTGGTAGCTCAATGGAGGCCTCAGAGGCACATGCTTTTCCCTGTGTCCTCTTGAAAGAAGAGTGATTTCAGACAGCACAGAAGTCACTGTGAGTGGGAAACCTTAAAGGTTGTCTCTTCCAGCCAATCATCTAACCTGGAAAAGTCAAATTTTAACTTCATGCAGCTTAGTCCAAGGTCAAAACGGGACCTACCTAGACCCCAGCATCTTTGAAACAGTATTATTTCCTTTGGAGGACAAACATCAGTTACTACCATTTGGTCTGCACCCAGCTGACACACTAGGAAATTGGCAAGACAAATGATCTCTTGGGGTGTTTCACTTGGAAATTATTTATCACATCCAGGCTGAGAGAAGACCATCATCCTTGCTTGGGAATCAGGCAACTGACCTTGAGAGTTGGCTCTACCTCTGTACTCACACTTTCTATCTGGAATTCCCTTCCTTCTCTTTTCGAGCCAAACTCTTTCCCTTCCTTGGGGGACGCATTAAAATCTCCCACTTCTGAGATAAAAATCAAAATGATATTAAATTTAACTCCTAATACTCCAGTACTCTCAAGAAACTATGATATTAAACAAAGGTGTATAATTTCTACTAGGTAATATAGAAATTTGTTTTGTATTGTAGTCAGACATGCCTCATTGGTTTAAAAAAATGGTTAAAAAACAGCCTTAAGTTGGGCTGTTTATTTAAAAAAATCAACAAATTCCACAAACTAAAAAAATTTACTATTCAGAAAACTGGAAACAAAATCTACTAGTCACAATTAAACAGTTTAGTAACATTTTACAGAAGCAAACTATTAAAAACTCTAGGATGGGCTTCCCTGGTGGTGCAGTGGTAGAGAGTCCGCCTGCCGATGCAAGGGACGCGGGTTCGTGCCCCGGTCCGGGAAGATCCCACATGCCGCGGAGCGGCTGGGCCCGTGAGCCATGGCCGCTGAGCCTGCGCGTCTGGAGTCTGTGCTCCGCAACGGGAGAGGCCACAGTGGTGAGAGGCCCGCGTACTGCAAAAAAACCAAAAAAACAACAAAAAAACCCCTCTAGGATGATACTAATGAACGATATAATCACCAAAGTGTCAGGATCAGATGGCTTTATTTTTCCAAAAAGCACAGTATTTTCTGCCTAGATGAATGTCTAAGTCCCTCTCTGACTGAAGTAAAACAGCTTAACTTTTCCTTCACTATTCTGACAACCTACACCCGCTCACCTAAACTCATTTTATGTTTTGCCTGCTGCTTATTCTACCCATTTTTCTAGTAGAGGGATCTTGTTTGATGTTCCAAGACTGCGTCAATCTGGAAAAAAAATCTTTTCTTTACACCAGAACCTTAGAAACATGTTCATCTTTGCCAAGATCTATTTTTAAGTTCTTTTGAAAACAACAGTCTGATATTTTTCCAAAAGGTACTTAGAAAGGAAATGTGTCATTTCTTTCAGAGCCTACACTACTGTAAGTGCTTTTCAATCTTCCCCACGCTCCTGCTGTCCCTGTGGAGGGCTGCACCATTAGTCTCCTTTGCCCTCCTCGTTTGAGAAGCATGAACTCATGTAGGGCTGCAGCGATTTCCATGGAGACATG